TTAACATCATTTTTTAACTTTGTTTTGGTCAATTTGATCGTCCACACCGATAGACAGTATACAGAAAGAGACAGAGAGAGAGAGAAGAGGGGAGGAGTTGATGATCTTGCGAGAACTTCCGGCGGGTGAGAATAGCCACTTTAGACCATAGAGGCGAGAGTGTAGTAAAACATGAGATATCGTCATTTGATTTAGAAAGTGTGAACACTCTTAAATTCCTCCCGATTCCACGAAGCACGAGGCCACCTGGACACCCAATTTCAATCATATTTTTTATTTTTGAAATTTATGTCTAAATATATATTATGCCTAGATTCTAGGCTCTAGATCTAGATCTAATCTAGATTCTAGATCTAGATCTAGTTGAGGTAATGTGATTTCAAAAGAAATTCTAAACACAAAAACTGCAAAAGGGCTGCAGAAAAGGTAGTATAAAAGTAGAGAACTCTATAAGAAAAAAATAACTCTGACTGCAGTTTCGTAAGGGGCATGGGGAGGCAGTGAGTTGAATCCTGGATACTGCCAACTTCATGCTAATCCCAAGGTTGGCAGTATTTTAATAAGAAATAAATAATAAATAGCATTTGTTTAGCGCTAGCGCATATATCCCCGCTCAACAGCAGGCTCTATAGATGTGCTTTGCACTATATTATTACCCCAGCAGATCAAAGAACACTCTGAAATATTCTCAGCTTCCCGGGAAGCAAACAGTGCAAGCAGCTGATTTTAAAAGCGCTCAAACACTAACAAACTGACAAGATCTTTCGCTGTCTATAGCCGGGTACCCATTCCCACCTGGGTGAAGTGAGGAAAATTTGTGTAAAGTGCCTTTCCCAAAGACACAACGTCGGGCCCCTGACTGGATTCAAACCTGCGACCTTACGGCTGCGAGTCCAAGAGCCTAATTGTATTATTTATATAAATGCTGCAGTGGTAGTACAAACACAAGATTTTTGTCTTAAATTTGCTATGTCATGTGGAATGCCATGCAATGAATTTGCCATCACATCATTTTATATCATGTCTTCTGAAAAGACACGATAGCTTTCAAAGACTCATTTCCATTTTGATTTTCCATACCGTTTACTGGCATGTATGAATTATATCGTATTTCAGGCATACAAGTCTTGTGAATGTTTCATCACTCTTCACAATTTTCATCTATTTCTTTTTTTGTGTTTGTCAATTTTTGTCGAAAGGAGGCTGCACAATTTGTTGACTTGCTTACAAGCCTGCCCTGAACTAAGCCTACTACATGACTCAAGATAATTTAGGGGAAAATGTAAAAAGAAAGCAGAATTAGAGCAAACATGCCAAGAACAAAATGTGCACATTATTACTGTGAAACCCCATTCAAGGGCCTCTTGAGACAGCTTGTCAAATGGTTTTATCTGAACTCTGTTAAAATGATATCATTATTACAAGGAAGGCGATACATGAAAAGCTTTGCAGCTCGCAAGAAACAGTCAAGTTTTGTATTTGTAGCGGACTGCAGCGGGTGTAGGTGTTTTTTAGAGCTTCACCTGGTGGATGGTTGGCGGGTGCTCTGGTGTGGTTACCCTCTTCTTTCCATGAAATTAAACATCTATCGTCCTTTCCCTTCCTTCTTTTTTATGTTTGTTACTCTCTTGTAACGGCAGTAATGCCTCTAATCTTCTGGCCTTATGCAGTTGCTCAGTGCCGTAGAACATCTTCAAAAACTAAAGAGCTTCATCTGGTTGGTGCTCACTCACTCACAGTTCATGAATAGACATTGGTATATATGTATGTGTATGTATATATATATATATATATATATATATACTTTCCCGTCTGGGAACGCTAATTGCTCAAAAATTGCCACGCGAAGTGGACGAAGGTGTCAAGTTTTCACCATTTCAATTTCATCATTGATTGGCGTAACCATTTACAGGATAGTAAGAAAATTTTTTTACCGTAGAACATGACTACAACGGCACCCGCTACAGCCGCCGGGCCCATCCCTACAGCGGGACCTTACCTGAATCCCCCTTTTTTTCTCAATGGAAACTCAATTACCTGTGCACGGGTTTAGCGGGGCAAGGAAAGGCCTGAACTCAGATATAGCGGGAGAGATCGAGCGAGCTCTGGCTGGGGGGAAGGGGGTTGGGGGGCTGTAGGCGGGCTCCAAACAGGCAGTCAGCGGTGCGGCGTTGTGAATGGCCAGTCCAGTGATGAGTGACGTGGGGCAGGTAGCAGAGAGAGATGGTGCGAAGAGACACGTTACGCGAGATACTCCAAAAGGGATGTGCCGTAGCTTAGAGGATCAATATGAGAGGGTATAGGCCATAGCCCTAGGCCTAGGGTAGGCCAAAGGCCAAAAGTAAAAGAAGAGGAGAGCGTGTAGTGGGTGATTCTTGATTCATTAAATTGCTATCGTTGATGCTCATAGGCATACGCACGCTTCCATTTCACTGGTTCTACAGTTGCCCTTCCGGTACGATAGACTATCATAGACAGCACAAGGAACGAAATTGAGGATTAAAAGCTGAGATAATCTACGAAGTTGACAAGAAAAGGAAGACTAATCAAAAACGCAAATTTTATTGAATATTGAAGGAAGGTATTCATGTGGATTTTTAGAACATTTTTGGTAATTTCCCCTTTGCATTCCTATTGTAGGAACTCGCTTACAGCGGGATTTTTCTTCTGGAACAAAATGTCCCGCTATAGCCGTGTTCTACTGTATTTGTGTGGGTGGTTGGCGGGTGCTCTGGTGTGGTTTGCTTCTTCTTTCCTGTCAAACATCTATCGTCCTTATCTCGCCTTCTTCTTTTTTATGTTTGTTACTCTCTCGTAACAGCTCTAATCTTCTGGCGCTCATATGACCTTATGCAGTTGCAAGCGCCGTAAAACTTCTACTAAAACTAAACTACTAAAACTAAACTGTATTTGTTTTGTTTTGAAGTTTGGTTGTTGGTGAAAAAAAAATCTACTTGCAATAGTTAATAGATACAATATTAATGGACCTTGTCATAAAAAAAGTTGTGGTGCGTCTTATCTGCTGAATGTATGAATTAACCCTATCCGTACGTCGTGTTTTACTATCGTATCTATACGACATGGGGAACTCTGTGCCACCACTTTCCAACGAGGAAATTTACTATAATCCGTTCCGTACGCTTTGCATAGCAGTCTGTCAAAATGATTTTTTGAGAAATACTGAAAGTTCCAAAGAGATTTTCTCACAAGAAGTATTCTAAAAATGTGAAGAATACAACCTAGGGGGTAAAAAATGACCTTAGGGCGTACAGATAGGGTTAAGCAGAACTATCGTCATCAACCTCAGCTAACCCAAGCCCAACCCAGAATCAATTCATGCTTAACTTGAGCTGAGGTTTTAGTTTTAGCACAGGGTTTTACAGCACTTACAACACAAATAAGTTACGGCACTTGCAATACAAATAGATCATACAGGTAAGTGCCGTAGATTAGAGGTGCTACTAGAGAGTTGGTTTTAGTTTCAGTAAGCGTTTTGCAGCGCTTGTGACACAATAAGGTCATACAAGTGCAGAGGATTAGAGGAATTTTATAACAGATACAACAACGCCAATTGAAAAACAAGCAGGAATCATTTTACCTTTTGGAAAAAATGATGCCAATATAATTTGTAATAATGTAATATACTTATACTTATGGACATTTGTACCGCAGAAATGGTTTCAGGTTTCACTTTTAAGTCGATGAAGATGTTAAGTTTTTGCTAGTTTTTTATTATTGCACAATCAACTTCCTACTATACGGCATGCCTTCAGTGCAATTATTCTTCTTTGATACATCATAAAGAAAGTGCTTACAGCTCTGCGCTCACTTGCCGCAATAATGCGACATGATGGAAAATTATCCGTTGCGGTCACTTGATGTGGTTCTGTGACAGGCCCGAGAAGTCTGTTGCTAGTCACTCTCCTGGCTGCGTGACCAAATAGGGTATTTTGTACTGCTGGCTGTGTGACTGCAGAATGTCCCCCACAAGGACAATGCTACTGACTGCAGTGTCTTTAGGCCATTCCCAAAGGGGGGATATTAACATGTTCTTCTGCGCAGTAGAATTGTAAATGGGCTGATTTATCAATGGCATGCTCATACTGTGCCGGAACAACATAGGGGGAACTGCTGCTTTTTCTTTCCTCATCCTTCATCATCAATGCCTTTCACCCCTGGCAGGGTTTAAGCCACATACAAGCTCCTTCCATTTAACTCTGTCCTGAGCCATCCTTCCAAGATCGTTCCAAGTGAGCTTCACTGAATTTGTTGTGTTTTGACAGTGTTGATGGGGTTGGGGAACATCCTATGTTAATCGGCCTAAAATTTCCCCTGCTGCACGCCCACACACACACACACACACACACACACACACACACACACACACACACACACACACACACACACCAAGGGTCAACTTTGATGCACCTTTTGACCTTGGCTGATAATTCTAATCTGTTCTTGGTGGCGTCGATGGCCTAGTGCTTAGGCTCTCAGACTCGCCACCGTAAGGTCATGGATTCGGATCTGGTCATGAACCCGACGTTGTGTCCTTGGGAAAAGGTACTTTACACAAATTTTCCTCTCTTCACCCAGATGGCAATGGGTACCCAGCTATAGACAGCGAAAGGCCTTATAACAGATTTTTAGTGTTTGAGCGCTTAATCAGCTGCTTTCACTAAGAATGCTTCTGAGTGTTCCATGGTCTGCTGGGGTAATAATATAGTGTAAAGCGCACAGAGCTTGCTGTAGAGCGGGGTTATGCACTATACAAATGCTATTTGTCATTATTTAATGTTATTAATTTATTGTTGTTGTCAAAATGTAATCATGCTCATTCCTCTTTATAAAGTACTACTTCCCTCGACGGATTTTTGTTTGTGTTACTATTTTTAATTTACTGGTCTGTTCTCGGTGCATGGGTCTCAATAATCCGCTATTAGGCTATGGGCTACTGGGAGTGAACCTCCCCCCCCCCCCCCCTGGGGATTTTTCGCCACCATGATTTTCTAAAAGGGTAGGACCTAGGGACTTCCCCAAAAAAAGTTTGCACCAAAATGTTGGCAATCTACAGAGTTACGGCCCTTGATTGTCCAGAAATTAAGAAAATACTTGATTTTTATTTTGGGGTTTTCTGTGAAGCCAAAAATGTGTACTTTCATATGATGTAAAACTCAAATATTATAAGATGATGTAAGTGTTGTAAAAAAAAAAATTTTGCTAATTAATTACAAGGTGCAAAGAGGAAAAAAGAAAATTCAAAGGCTGATTTCTCAAAATCTATAGAAATGATTAATTCCATTGCTTCAAATCTTCTATAACTTGATACAATAGTTTTCTGATAGGTACACACTTTGACTCAAAGTTTGAGGCACAAAATGAGAAGGATTGTGTGCAAAATAACTATGAGTTAAGGAGTTATGACCCTTGCTATTGCTATATTGAAAAAATACAAAACTGCCGCGCGTCATTTTAAAAACGTCAAAAAGGCGGCATGAGTACTTTTGTCTCAGATATAGAAAGAACAGATTGAAGAAAGGACATGTGCAGTGCATAACTGTAACTTCAAAGGCCATGATGAAATAAAACCCCTCACTGAGAGACGCTGGGACACCATTCAAAAATCAAAAACACAAAGGTGCCTTGCAGAAACTGACAGTGATAGACTATCCTCAATTTGTGAAAGAATACCGACTGAGTTTGACTGCTCAACATGGGTTTCATGATTACTGCTACAATACATTCATCAATTTGAGGAGTCTAAGAAAAAGGTATTCATCAGGAGAGTCTGACAAATCAGCACAAGAAGGGTCTTGCTCCACTAGGAAAAAGGTAAAGCAATGGTTTTCAACACGCCTCTTGCCCATTTAATGCCTTTTCTGTGAAAAGACTACTGAATGGACACATGACAGCATGGGAACCAAGAAAGTTCATAAACTTGTCAAATATGTTAACAGAACATCTGAAGCCTCTGTAAAAGAAGCTGTAAACAGGAAAACCGAATCAAAACTTCGGGGCCAAATTAAAAATGCTGTTCTTATTGCCCAAGAGGCATGGTATCATGAACCATGTAGAAAAGCTTTCACACGTAAGGAGTATCGATGTTCCCAAGCTTATACATCTAAATACTGTTCTGGAGAACAAAAGGTAGAAGCTGAAGAAAGAAAGAAAGCTCCAGCTGCAGAGGAAAAAGCCCACTGCAAGGCTTTTCAGCACGTCCGTCAGTTTGTGGAAGAACATGTCACTGCGCTGGCCCTTGTTAAGATTAGTCTTTTGAAAGAAATGTATTGCACTTTCATGCAAACAAATTATCCAAAGTTTTACAAGTACTACAAGACATATGAGTTGAGGAGAAACTTGTGAAGCACTTCAAGTCCAGGATCAACTTCTGGCAGAGATATTCTGGGACAAGTGATCTCGTGTACTGTGATGAAATTTCAACTGGGCAGGCTGTCGGAGTTGCCTTTGAAAATGTAACCTCTGAAGAGACTTGTTATAGAAGTGGCAAATGTGATACGACGACCTGTTCTTGATGGATGCAATGAAAGTGAAAAGTTACCTTGGCTTTCAGCAGACACAGATCTGCGCACAGAAACTTTGCAGATTCCACAAGTATGTACAATATTTCTTTCCTTTCTTTACTCTAAGAATGGAAAACCACAGTCAACAAGATGCAACAGGAGAGTTGTTTCTACAGGTCAGGACATATGCTACAATGTGATGAAAGGGGAATGGAAAAAGCCTTAACATATTATGATTGGTATGTGTCCGTCGTCCAACAGGAAACACTCAGCTGATCAATATCTTAAACCGGCATGGACATTCTGTATCCCACTCATTTCTCTTAGAAGTGGAAACTGCCATGTGTGACAGTATACAGGTTTCTTCAGGTAGTTTGCCCCCGTCCATCATGCCTGACAACAACCTCATCACTCACTTCTGTTGGGACAATTTTGACTTGAATGAGGAAACTTTATCAGGAACTGGATCCACACATTCAACTCATGGACTAGTCATACGAGAAATCAAAGAGCAGCCATACATTCCCCAGCCGACACCAGAGGTTGACAGAACAAAGAAAGGATCAATCCATATTCCAAAAAAACAGCTTGACCCGTGTTTTATCAATTCTAAGGTGGAACACACCTTATTAACAAACAGATTATCAAAGATTTTAAAGTGCTCCATATGAATAATGAAAACAAAAGGCAACTGACACCGTTCTTACTTTATGAATGGCAACAAGATTGTGATGCAATGATGTTGCTGAACAGAGAAATATACTTTGCAAGTGACCAACACTGCTTTGTCCTCAGTAGCAGTGATGGAAAGACTACAGACTCAAGACCTGTTCCAGAGTTACCCTCCAGCCATGAGGAAGCAGACACACTGCTGATCGTGCATGCCATCTTCTCTGATCAGAACATTGCTACTCCAAACACAGACATCATTATTCGGTGCCCAGACACTGATGTCTTTCTACTGATGATTGCATTTGTTCAACATTTCACACACAGTTTGAATTTTGACACGAGTTGGGAAAAAGAAGATGTCTGCACATTCAGACTCTCTGTTACAAAATGGAAACACATTTACAGGATTCTATTCTTGGACTCCATGCATTCTTTGGATGTAAGGAGTCTAGCGATTTTGTCCAGAGAGGAAAGGTGAAGCCGCTCACCATTCTCCACAGGCACCCAGAGTTTGCTGTTTCATTCATGGAGCTAGGAACATCTGAAACTGTTTCTTCAGAACTGTTTTCCAATCTGGAAAAGTTTGTTAGTCACCTGTACGGAAAACCAGCTTACTCTAGCGCTAACAAGTTTCATCATGACTTTGGAAGGCTAAAGTACATGGCAAAAGGTCAAAGCTTACTGTCATGCTTTGATGGATTTGACACCATGCGAGAGAAGCCCCGAAACTGATTAATAGTATTAAACTTCAATATGGAAGCAAGCACATCTGCTCAACCATTAATACAAATGTACCTGATCCGCAAGATCTTGGTTGGAAGAGAGATAATGGTGGAGTAGTGCAAAGACTTGGTCCCTCAACAATTGGTTGATATATTGTCAGGATCAGATACAGAACAAGAGGAAGACAAAGATGAAAACTATCTCCTCTATCATATGTGATGAAGAAGATGAGATTTTCGCTACAGCTATTTCTTCCGCCAATCCCGCAATCGCGACAGCGGGCCTATCAGAAAATTTTCCCGGTTAGCCGAATTCCGCCGATCACCGGACGCCTGGGAGTCTCGATCACTGGAAAACTGACGTGCGAAATTCGCAGAGTACGAAGACCGGAATCGGGCCTGTTGACTTCTCTTGTGTTTATTTCCGGTAAGCTATTTTCGTTTTGGACTAGGCGCCTGTCGGTTCTCGCTCTCAATGCACCATTTTCCCTTCATTCCATCGTTTCAAGCCCAGTTTCCATGTGTACGTAATGCTTAGTGCGCTATACGTTAATGCGTATTGCCCTTTCCCATGTGTGCGTGTATACTAACGTTCGTGATCCGTCAGTTTGTTCTTTTGGCTACTCTAAACACCTTACACAGTAGTCTTCAGTTCAGTCAGTAGACTGTAGAGCTAAGACAAGAAGGCTCCTTGCTTTTGCTTGTTACATTCTACATGATATCATTGATGTGTATCTCTAGAATCTAGATCTAGATCTAGATCGATCTAGATTTAGATAGCCTAACCAAAATGCGGAAACAGGAAGATGAGGTTGAAGACATTGAAATTATTGGACTCGTGTATTACTATCTTAAGTTAATAGAGAATGAGGAAAAGATAACACAGGTGGTGGGTACATGAAATATTACAACAACAATGGAAAAGGTTTGATGTGTACCACCGTCTTTTGAAAGAGCATTTAGAAATGGGCTCAGAACGATTCCATTCAGTACTTTGACTTGACCAGAAAACATGAATGCAGCAAGTTTTCTTTTTTATAATTATAATTGATAAAAACGAAAGAACAGAAACACGTAGATCTAGATCTAGATTTAAAATAGTTCTTGTAAATCACTCGGGGATTTCTAGTTTTCTGTGTCCAAAGGGCTGCGTGATACGTTTTGAATGATGCCTCGATCGTTCGAATACGCCTCATGGACAGCGCATCACGCACACGTGGATACACTTTTGCACTTTTAAGTTGAATTTCCATTTTAACGTTCTTTACACATTGTGCACTACGCATAATTACGTACACATGGAAACCGGGCTGAATCCTGACATAGATTAACGTTTTGGTTGTGATTTCTACACCGCACGGCATCGCAATATTTCATCTAAAGATAATAATTTAATAATGATAATACATTACATTTATGTAGCGCTCAATCCCGATTAAAGTACACTGTAGGCTCTGAGCACTTTACAATACAGTATAACGTACAACAGTAACATGAAAACGTTGTGTTCTGACTAAAGAAAATGACTCCAAATTCATCTTATTAATTTAAATACAGAAATGACTTCAGCTGACATTTGAAGGAGTCTAAAGATTCTATCTCCCACTTAAAGTACTTGAAGCATTCCAGATCTTGGGGCCTTGGCATTCAAATGCCCTTTCACCCATTGTTTTAAGTTACATAGATGGTAAAATGAATTTGTTTTTGTCAGCTGATGACCTTAAACTGCGAGTTGGAATGTACAGTCTCTTTTTAACAGATTTGATAAATATGATGGTGCATTAAATCATTCAAACATTTGTGACATAGGGTCATAGGGTGGCCAACTTGTACACAATTCTTTTCTCAACAGGAAGCCAATGCAATGTCCATAAAAGAGGTTTAGCAGAGTTTGGCTTTCTTTTTCATAAAACTAAGCGTGCAGCCCTGTTTTGGACAGTTTGAAGTCTTGGACGTCAACTTTTGAAATGGCAAGACGTGTCGTTATCGAACGCGGTGGTAATGCCAGAAAGATCGATGCCAAACTGAAGAACAAGTGGGTTTGGAGCTGGCTAGAAAAGGAGGTCAACGGCGTTGCCCTGTTCAACTTTATGAAAAAACTTAACAAACCTGGCGTTGCATTGTGTGATTGGTGCGACAGCAAAGTGACTTATTCTGGCAAAGGACTGTCGTCTCTTGTTCAACACGCTGAAACATCCAAGCACAAAGCTGTTGCTTCGACTCGGAAATCAAATTTAAATGCTCTGCCATCAGCATGTGAGTTGTTAGTCTTGTAGATCGCTAGGGCTAGAAAATATCTAGATGTAGATACCTAGAGCTGGATCATTACATCTTATTCTATTATATATATGTTTGGGAACTTTGAAACACATGTGTCACTTTTCCCATAAAACTACGGCAGCTCCAGAATTGAAAGTTGGCAATAGCCGCAAAAAGATAGTTAAAAGGTCCCAATGACGGAGCCCAATTTTTTATTTATTCATTTCCTGAATTTAGAAAAATAATATTTCATTTGACAAAAAGTTCTCGTCCATCTTTGGCCTTTGTGATTATTCCACTGAGAAACAAACAAATCTGCGTAGCTGTCGTTCACAATGGAAGTGCTGGAAATGATATTTCGCGAGGCGCATTTTGTTTTGAGAGTATAGATCTAAACCTTCTATTCTTTTTCATGATCTCTTCAGATTTATTGCTCCATTCCAGTAGAGTAAATATAGTTGGCCAATGACTTTCAGTTGATGTTAATGCACCGATCAGTCCTTTCATGGAAAGGGGGCCCAGCTAGTTTTATTTTAATAGAAGCCTAAACAGTTGGGATATATTTTTAATTTTTATGTAAAACCTGATAGAAAAATAAGCCTAATTCATAGACGTAATTCATGTTACGGCGTGGTAAAAGCAGGTTACATGCTCTCTTTCTGTGAATACAGTCATGTCTTCTCTTGTCGTACTCATCATTTTTCCCTCTAATATTTCTTTTGTCACTCTCTTGTGACCCGCTATTTCGGGGGTGCCTTGATAGTCGAAGCAGGCTTTGTGCTGTTGAAGCTAGAGAGGTGAGCAGAGTAAGCCTGATTCCCTGTAAGGGCTTCTCTGTTGACATCCTCCCATAGGCACTCATATGACCTTATCAGACTTGCCACAAGAAGTATTCTAAAATGTGAAGAATACAACCCCGTGGGTACAAAATGACCCCAGGACGTACGGATAGGGTTAATCAGCTACTTACCCTGTATACTTCCCGGGAAGCTGAGAATGTTTCTGAGTGTTCCATGGTCTGCTGGGTAATATAGTGTAAAGTGCATAGAGCTTGCTGTAGAGAAGGGTTATATATGCGCTATACAAATGCTATTTATTTTATTATGACTTTTTATTATTAATTTATTGTTGTTGTAAAAATGTAATCATGCTCATTCCTCTCCATTAAGTACGACTTCCCGCAACGGATTTTCGTTTGCGTTTCTATTTTTAATTTATTCGTCTGTTCTCGGTGTTGCATGTCTGTTATATAATTATTATGCTGACTGGTCGTAGACGTCTAATGGCAGGTTGTTGGAGAGTGCCTCTCGTAGATTTTATTTTTTCAGTTGACTTCTTTACTCTCTTTTTCTCTGTTGTTTCTGTCCATCTGTGAGTGGATGATAGGCAGTTGCTTTGGTGTCGTTTGCTCTTTTCCTGTCAAGCATCTATCGCTGGTGGTTGGCGGGTGCTCTTGTGTGGTTTGCTCATATGTTTGTTACCCTCTTGCAAAACATCAAATCTTCAGCACTTATGTGACCTGTTTATGTGTCAAGTGCATGCCATTACAAAAGCAAAAAAAAAGATGTCCTTCTATCTTGCTTTTTCCCCAGTTTCCCTGCGAGATGAATAAAAATTGTCATTGTCAACTCATGTCAATGTGTTTTTCTGTCTGGAAATTAAAATTAACCTAAAAACATGAATTTATTTCATGCTCATGTGTATATCTTTATTTTTTTTTCTCGATTATTTATTGCAGGTGCTGACTCCCATTTCATCATGAGCAGAGAGTTTCCACGTTCAGGCCCTTCCAGCCAAGGGGTGAGCTACGAGGACTCTGAGATGAGCTCATCCTCAATACACAGCAGTTCCAGCAGCGTGCCCCGTGCGGTCCACCCCACCACCCGCAACTTTCCAGCAACGTCGGAGGAGGGAGATATCATTTTCACCCACCCCGAAGACATAAAACCCAAAGTGGAGTGTCTGGTGGGGAAAATCAGCGTGGTCGGAGAAGAGAGCTTGTCGAACGTTCGGGAGGACATCGAGATGGTGGATATGGTGGAGGACATCCAGTACGATATCAAAACGTCCCCGCCCCGCGAAGGCTTTTCGGCGGCGTCCGGCGCTGCAGAGTCAGAACCTGGCTCGTCCAGCACGGTGTCACCACCCCACGGTGCTTCGGGCGACGCGAGCTCATCGCGCCCGGAACAGTTCCTCGACGTGTCGTCTCTGACGGAGGAGGTTTTGCTGCAGCACAGGCCGTCGGACGTATTCTGCGCCGGGGTCACTGGTTTATTTTTCAAATCCCTGCCCAACAGGATGAAGTCCCTCCTCGGCGCTCGCTGCGCGCACGGCGAGCTCCCCCACGAGCGGGTCACGGTGCTGCTGGCCACAAACCTCGAGGGCTCGGAGAAACTGCCGCTGCTCTGCGTCGGGAGCCCCGACAATGGCCAGTACTTACGCCACGTGGCATTCGGCCCCGTGGACTACAAGTCCAATTTGAAGTCGTGGATAACAAAGGAAATGTTCACCCACTGGTTGTGGAAGCTGGACGCGCACTTCGAGTCCCAAGGTAGGAACGTGGCGCTGCTGGTGAATAATTACTTTGACACGTTTGAAGGCCTCGAACTCCGCGCCATACACCTCATCCTTCTGCCGATCAACGAGTCTTTGAGGAGTAGCATCCAGCCCTGTGATCACGGGATTATTCGTCAGTTCAAATTGCTGTTCCGGTGTAATCTGCTCCAGCAATACGTTGCCCACCTCGAGCACAGCAGAAAGACTACGTGTACCACCGCGACCGGGACGGACCCGCCCAAGTTTGAATGGAACTTTCCGGAAGCTCTGTACGCCATGCGGCAGTCTTGGGCCCAGGTAGAGTCCTCTGTCATATGGGACGCGTTTGATAGCGCGGGTTTGTCTGCGCCGCAGCTTGCAAACCAACAACCCCAGGCACGAGATGCGGAGGAGTACTACGAGAAGCTGATGACACGGCTTAACTCCCTTCTCGCCCGGAGGATTCCTCCTGTGGCCTACCTCAGTCTGGACGCAGAGCTGGCGATAAAGAGGCTTCCCTCGGTTCGAAGGTCGTGCATTCAGTATTTTCCTCTCCCACATCAGTCTGTTGCTGACCCATCTCTCGCAGACGTCAAAAAAGCACTGAGTGTCATTCGACGATTTGCCGAGAGAAATTTTAGCAACAAATCAGAAGTGAGATCAGTTTATGACTCAGTGGATAGTCTGAGCGACTTGATGGATAACAATATTTTGCGCGAGCCCAGACAGACGTCCATTGTGGAGTATTTTAAATGATTTGTGTTCCTGTTGCCTATCAAATTGTTGAAAAGGATATTGTGTCGTGCGACTGCTTGTGGGTGGTTGGCGGCTGCAGTGAGTGGTGTGGTTTGCTCCTTTTTTCCTATCAATGAGTATCAAACCTCAGGCCATTCCCGAAGGGGGGACATTACCATGTTCTATTGCACAGTAGAATTGTAAATGGGCTGATTCATCAATTTCATGCTCATATTCATAACTGTGCCAGAATTGCAACAGGGAACTGCTGATTTTTCTTTCCTCATCCTTAATATCATCATTTTCCTCTACTTCTTTTGTATGTTTGTCACACTCTTGTGACCCGCTATTTCTGGGGTGCCTTGATAGTCAAAGCAGACTTTGTGCTGTTAAAGCTAGAGAGGTGAGCAGAGTAAGCCCGATTCCCTGTAAGGACTTCTCTGTTGACATCCACCCTTTGGCACTCATGACCTTATGCAGTTGCGAGCGCCGTAAAACCGGAGAGCTCTGATTGAATCGGAGTACTTCGCAAGACTGCAGCATCGAGACGGAAATATTAGTAATCCTCCTAGATGGAATATACAGTACTTCTACTTCTACACCAGGGAATCAGACTTGGGTTTGTGGGTGGTTGGCGGGTGCTCTGGTGTGGTTTGCTTCTTCTTTCCAAGGCCTTTCCCAAAGGGGGGACATTTCTCGTTCTAATGCACAGTAGAATTATAAATGGGCTGATCCAACGTCGTGCTCATTACTGTGCCTGAACTACGACAGGGAACCTGCTGCTTTTTCTTTCCTAATCCTCACTATCGTCATTTCCTCTACTTTTTTGGGTATGTTTTTCATACTCTTGGGACCCACTATTTCCGGGGTGCCTCTCTAGTTGAGGCAGACTTTGTGCTGTTGAAGCTGGAGAGGTGAGCAGAGTAAGTCTGATTCCCTGTAAGGACTTTTTGTTGACATCCACCCCTTGGCGCTCATATGACCTTATGCAGTTGCGAGCGCCGTAAAACCTCTACTAAAGAACTAAAAACTTGGGTCTTTAATTTTTCTTGCTGCCGCAAAGAGCCTTAGCATTACGTGACCTGTGCTGATATTTTTCACCTATTGGATGCATATTTGTGAGTGATGTGTGCAAGTGTGATGATAGTGACACTTGATGAGACCGGACTCGTAATCGTGATGGTGCGGGTTTGGGGGTTCGAGCCTCAGCTCAGTCCGACGTTGTGTCCTTGGGAAAGACACTTTACACGAATTTCCCATTCTGCTCTGTCCTTTCAGAGACAGACGTTAAACTAGGAGGCACCGCCTCTTAAATAACCTAATAGTGATGATAGGGGCGTTAAACCCATACCATTTCACACTTGATAAGACTCCATGATGTGCCTTAATCTATAATATTATATTTGTGAAAGTTCGTCACTTTGGCCGCCTAAAACTTCCCAGCCACTTAACTGTCGAATTTGGAAAAATTAACGGCGGTTCAGATTATTTAAAGGTGCATAGTTATTTATAAGGAGTTTGATGTCTCTTTTGGTTAATTTTCAGTTTTTCATTAGTTTCGTTTAGATCTAATCTTGGGAGGAAAGTCCGTCTTCTAAGACGCCATTGTAAACAAGTGAGACTTCCGTTCACAAGCAGTGCGCAATAAACCCACAGTGACTTGACGGTCGATTCTTTTGATTCCGCTCATCCTGGATCGGAAAAGTAAAGTAAAGAGTCTGTTCATTGAACGTGGTACCCAGCTAGTAATAGTAATAATAATAATATTAGTAATAAAGACAACTTCTTTAACGCCCACTCTCTGGTGGCTCTCCAAGCGCTTCACAATAAAAATAAGATTTAAATATCAACGTTTCATGTAGCCTACGTACTGGCCAATTTAACATACTAAAATTACAACAATTCTTTCATATAAAATACATTATATAAAGAGGTCTTTGACCAATGTAATGTGACTTTATTTTTTTTTCGGTCCCGGTGTGTTGATTTTATCAGAATTCCACTGTTTTATTTGTAATTAAGTAATTAAGTCGCCTTGGAAATTAATGTGAGTCCTGAGTCTCAATTTTTTTCCTCTGATTAGTAAGAAAGAGTGTGTATGCAATATTTTGCTTGAATGATTTACTCAGTGAATGTAGAACTTCATATATATCATTGACATTGTGTGCATGTGGTGTGTATGCATGTTTTTCATGAAGAGACATTTTGTGTTTGTGTTTTTCATTATATAAACCCATACAGTTCTTATCTTTCCTTTACCACCATATGTGACAACAATACCTGGTGCCATGTAAACTATTTTGGGTTTGTCCATATAGGCTACATTGTATGCTTTTTATTGTGTTTGGTTTCTGTACCGAATATGTCAAGTCAATAAATCTTGTACTATGCTGGTAAATTTCATGCAATAAGTCAATAAAATTAGTATGTGTTTTGCATTCCTGAATAGATATATATTATATAGTATAGACACAGTATAACACGGATTGGTCGAACACAGAAGACTTGAAATAACGCTTCTTCCGTCGAACTGTGCCTGTGGTCCCGGTTGTTGTTGTTTTGTTTTTTTGTAAGATATCCCTCGAACTAAGGATCCCTGGAAATACATTTGTACTGAGGCTGGTCCCGACGAATTGGATCTATCCGTGTTATATTGTATGTAGATCTACATGTATGTTATTTTATTTGTATTCTGTTGGTGGTTAGTGGGTGTTCTGGTGTGGTTTGCTCCTTTTTTTCCTATCAAACATCTGTCGTCCTTATCTCTCCTCCTTCTTTTTTGTGTTTGTTACTCTTTTGTAACATCTCTAATCTTTGGCACTTTTATGAGTATGACCTTTTTTCTTTTTTTTCCCCCGTGTCCTGATTTTGGTGCCAGTTTTTGTTGGTTACGTAAAAAGAAAGTAATGGTGCAGATTGTTATATGAAAGGGGAATTGTTGAGTCGGTAATGATGATGATGATAATGATGTTGTTGGCGATGGTGACGGTAATGGTAATTGTGATAGTGAGCATGAGGATGATTATTTATGTTGGCGATGATGATGTTCCGATGTAGGAAATGACATGCGTGTTAGTCTTAGTGTTAAGTTTGTTTGGTGCTTACTCTAGATCCCCGCCAGGCTGTCCTGGGGGGCAGGACACAACCCTCATTCCCAACTCCTCGCATAGAGTGACCAAAAATTTGGAAATAATCCGTCATCTTCTTCCCTAGCATTTAATAAAAGTAGGCCGAAAAATCACATGGGGGCCGCTTCTAAGTGATGACATTGTTAGTGTGTTTGTTACCCTACGTCTATGCTGTCATATTTTCAAAACAGTGAAAGGAATGTGGCCAATAATCTTCGTAAAAATTAACTTTCATTGTCAAAGCAGACTAACTTGTGTGCTTACAGGTTATCGTTATCGTCGTTCGCAACCGGTCCCGAGGCACTTCTGTGGTCGTCGGAGCATGTAAAAAGCCTGAAAAACCATGCCTAGACGACCAGAGAATTACAGGATTGCCTCTTCCTAAAGAGTGATCAGCAAATTCACCACAAGTATATCAATACATTAATGCACACAAAAAGCAACACGCAGTACTGGAGGACCGGAAGCGAAGTTGCGTCCAGCGACAACTCAGACACCACGGGCATAAAAAGTCCCCGTCTCCAAAGAGATAGAACATTTATAGGCCACTATTAATGAAATGGAAAGACAAACTAGAGTCTAGTTAGTATTAAGTGCAGGAAATGTTATATCAAATTACTTCCCTATTCTAACCCCATGTGATGACACGCGACCGCGAATGGCACCATTAAGTCTGACTAAGAGTATAATAAAGGCAAAGAGATGTTAAGATGAGTATGACCTAATTGTGTTGCAAGTGCCTTAAAAAGCTCAAGATTACTTCTAGTTCATTTTCTTCTTCTTCTTTTCTCGATCCTGGCACATTGGTTTGGTGTTCTGTTTCACTACACACACTCACGCACACACGGATACACGCACAGACATACGCACGACCATACCCCCCACCCACACACACACACACACACATATACACACACACACACACACACACACACACACACACACACACACACTCACAGCTGGTGAACTGCTACATCATTCCAATCGTGTCTTAGTATGCCGCAGAAACTTGGACAATGTACAAAAATTTAGTAAACCAAACTGAGGCTGTGGAAATGTGGATCTTTCGCTGAGCAGGCAGAATATTCAATCAGCTGGAAAGGCCAAATCACTAATGAAGCCGTGATGCTAAAGAGAAGTACTACAGTACCAAAACTAAAATAAAAGTAAAACTAATATACTTGGAGCACACCATTCGCCCTGACTCCCTCACTTCCAAGGACATTTCTCACCGGTCAGATAAAAGGGAAGAGAGCTAGAGACAGACAACGAAAATTATGGACTGATCATGTAAAAGCCGGGATGGGTAACAGCTTGGCAATGTGCATGCTCAGATTACAAGACCGAATTGCTGAGAGACTTCTTATGCTACGTCGACCTCTGAAAGTTAATGAAAGTCCAGGATGACTCTTTGGTCTGTCCCCATGGTTTTATGCACACAAAAATTCTGAAATTATGCAAACTGAGCCCAAAAATGTGAAATTACTGTATGCAAGACGCGATTCTTAATTTTAACAAAGAGTGATTAAGGAAAATAATGAGAAAATATGCGAAAAATGATCAAATTTTGCTAAATCATGCGGGGTGCATAAACCCCAGGGACAGCTAGGCCAGGCAAGGCAAGTCATGCTTTTGAAAAATAAATCTGAAAATGAAAATACAAATATAGATCTACATGATGTACAATCAAATTTACCTCCAAGATTCACAAGCAATGATGTCAAGTTATTATAATATAATATATGTGAGGCGTGCTGACAAAATGAATTACTTCTCGCAGTCCACAAATGGAGATATTGGCCAAAAATTGACACTAGGGTCAAATTTGTAGATTTTCTATTGATACCATATTTCTTTAGGTATAACATACCTTTTATTTCATACTTATAAAATGTAAAAACTCCACCATAAGTGTGATGGATCCATTTCCTTAAGGCCTGAATCCGAGAAGTAACTCATTTTGTCATCACGCTTCACATTTATATATACATGTACTAGAGCCTTCAAGTTTTCTTCACT